TCGAAAAGTAGGTCACAGGTCAAAGGTCATTTGGGTCAGGGTCATGAAATTTTCAGGATGGGTGTTAAATTGATCAATGCGAGGGTACTGAAAGTTTCGTCGCGATCAGCCGCTTTTTTAAGCGAGTTATTCGCGAAAACCTTAGGGGGGTTGCATCAACCCCCCCCCCCCCCCTGTGCGGCGAGGTCATGTTTTGATAGCAAGACTGAAACAGACTTTTTTGGGTAGCCAGGAAATCGCATGCCAGAGCCTATTCAAATTCTTTTATCGGCCTTTATATGCACCAGTCGCATACAGGTACGGGATTTAGCATACGATTTCCAGACAATCGAACGACTGTTTGGAGACAACAAAGGAAGGAATGAGTGAGTTAAGTTGAAAGTATTAATTTGGTTCAAAATGATGATGTAGATAACCTAGTTATTTAAAGCTGAATATCTTATGACGAGAGCGGTTGGCATTTTTGGTATGCAGTGTTATTCATTGAGAACCGGTCGGAGCGTTTGAGTCTTTAATTTAGTGGTCGCCGCTTACTAATCATGCGGCATACACGCCGCACATAACCGCCAATGCCGCAACGTAGCTTAGATTTCGAAGTAAGCATTTAGTCCCACCCGATTTACACGCGGTAATTTTTGTAGGGTAGCTTCATTCCTTCTACCAAGTATTGGACTATTCCTGATGCATGTGGGTGACCCCTTATGCACGTGCCACGTGCAAAACGAAGAGGTGTCCGTTTTGTAATTGTTGCAATATCTCGGTAACTACTTGACCGATTGCGCTGAAAGTTGGCATGTAGGTAGGCACTCACTAGGCACTGCATATCCATGTGCCAGAGTTGGGGTGCTGCTGCACGTGCGCACGTGCAGGGGTCGTTTCCAGATCTCGAGAACGGCTCGACCGATTGCGCTCAAATTTGGTACACAGTTAGGGACCGGTTAGTAGGGTGCCATGCACAAGTCAGTTGGGACCCATTTTGCACGTGCGCACGTGCAGGGTGCCGCTTCCAGATCTCAAGAACGGCTGGGCCGATTGTGCCCAAATTTGGCACGTCGCTAGAGACCGGTTAGTAGGGTGCCGTGCACAAGTCAGTTTGAGGTACCCCCTCGCAATTTCGCACGTGCAAGGCCCACCCTCTCGCTCGCTCCGTTAGTCGCCCCAAAAGGCGTTATACTGGTAAAATAAAGATATTTGCTGTAAAAGAGATTAGGTGCACTGTGCAGATTTGGTCAAATTAGATGCACTCGCCGGATAGCCCGTCATCAAAACGGCTATTAAGGAGTAAGGACCACATTTGGATGTTGTTCAGTTTGAGTCATTTCAAGGTCACTAGTCAGGTCAAATGAGGTCAAACTGTAAGAACAATGCAGTAATAGCCAAAGCGAACCGATTCTTGTCAATTTTCAAAACCTTAACCCGGCAGGCGGTGGGCCTCCCGGCCACCTTCCGCGTGGGGGGGGCATTTTTTGCCCCCCCCCCCGTATCTCCGAAACTACTGGACGGATCCGTAAAATTCAAACGGCGTTCGATAGCCCTGTCAAATTTGTTGAAGGAACCTAAATTTGATTGACCTCGGGGTCACCGATGACGTCACAGGTCAGGTCAAAGATAAAATGTTTCACCGTTCACGGGTCTTCTAGGGAAAGCGCTATAACACCGAGTAAAACGCATTTTGTCGAAAATCAGCGATAGGGCGTCAGTTGTTTAGTATATATGTTGCTATTAGAGGTCACTGGTCATACCAGGTCAGGTCACAGGTCAGGTCACGAAGGGTCACCATATGAACCCAGCTTTACTAAGGTTGTGCGATGCATGTTTTATGGCCAATTTGTCATTTCCAACTCAATGATGTTGGTTATAAGACCATCAGGTACGGTTTAGGTCACTTTCTTGCGGAGGTCAGGTCAAGGTCAGGTCAAAAAAGGTCAAATTTCAAAGTTGATAGATTTCCGTAAAATGGATATTGATTCGACGCAGCTCGTCACGGGGAGTCTAATGGTCGTCTTTGTTTTGCGCTACAATGTCTAGAATTTCTAAAAATTGAGTTTGAAAATTTGACGTCATCAATTTTTAACAGTTTTTTTCGCTATATCTTGGCCAAAAAAAGAGGTATTGATCTCAAATTTGGTATGTAGATAGAAGGTGGTAGGGACTATCACATATATTCCGTTTTTTTCGAAATTCAAAAACCTTTTTGGATTTTTTGGCTATTATACTCCAATTTTTTCTTTATTTTTTGGGGTCAAAATCCAAAATTTCAAAAATCCGAGATAGCAGTTTTGTAGCCCTTTTCATTCTACACCTTTTATGTCTGATTTTTTTTTTTGTATCTCTAAAGCTGTAGGCCTGACAGCTCTTCCCGCGAAGCCTTTTTTGGGTCGAAAATGGCAGAAATGAAGTCACTCTGACGTCATTAGCGGCCAACCTATCATAGCCTTTGGAAAAATGTTGGTCACAATGTGCAATAGCTATTCACGGGAGGGTACTGAAAGTTTGGTGACGATCTGCGCAGTGGTTCTGGAGATATATCGAAAAAACTAAGGGGGGGGGGAAATGCCCCCCCCCCCTTCACCGCCTGGAAGGTTAATAATCCCTTCAACACCCAGCGTATCATTGCCAACATTACCTATACTTAAACGGTGATTTAGATAAAAAGCACGTAGTACGGCGGTGAGCAGTGGGCCACTCACCTGGTAGTTGTCCAGCTGGTCATCGGTGAAGGTGGCTACTTTGTTGCCCATGGCTGGACGTCTGCACCGGTGTCGGCCGCCGCCTGGCCCCGCCCGGTCTGACGGCAGGTCGGCCGAGGACCACGCCCGTCCATCGGACACCGGCGGCCGACGAGCGCGCACGCATCGCCAACAATCGGCTAATGGACCCGGTGGCGCAGCGGTCCGCGTCACGCGACAGAGCGGCCACCGACACCTGAACCGTCTTTCAACCCGCGCCCCGTTGACCTAATCTCGGGCCATGCCATTGGTTTGGGGAGGGTGGGGGGGGGGGGGTGCGTTTCCCTCCTAAGATCTTGGAAAGTTACCAACCGATTTACGAAATTCCAACGACGTTCGATAGCCCCACCGGGGAACTACCATGTGCTCAAATTTCATTCGTGACCTAGGTGCAACCGATGACATTATAGGTCAGGTCAAAGGTCGTATTTTTTTCACCGTTTACAGGCCATCTAATAAGGAACATCGAGCAGAGGTCTATCGAATCATCGATATCGAAAATCGAAATAGAATCGAAATCATCGATAGGGCGCATTCGCTACAAAAGCAGATAACCTGTCGTCGGCTATTAGCCTTTTTCTATGAAACGGCTGCCCCGAAACCCATTTTGTTTGCGTGAAAATGAGGATTTTACAGAAAGAACACCTTTCTAGTTTTTTGCATGTCGATTTGCAATGACCTGAAATTTATTTGGGAAAAAATGCAAAAAATTGTTCCCAAGGGTCATAAATAACAAATGAAAAATTACTACTTTTATATCAAATAATTATTTTCTTTCGAATTTTTATAGAGTCACATTAATTATTGATTCATCGCAAGTTCAGTGCTGTTTGCCGTTTGTCGCTTGCTTGTCCTGTTATTGAGTTATAGCCCATCAAACTCATCCCTTACAATGCGAAGTTTAAAAAAAATGTCATGCAATATAAATCAAAAAGTTTTATCTGAGAAGTCTGACATTTTGGCAGACGCCCTTGGGGCCTATGGTTACGAGCGAGCGAGCGCAGCGAGCGAAGTGAGTCTTTTCAATATAACGGAAAAATCTCAGTATGAGCGGCCCGGCCCGGCCCGGCCTGTAACGCTTTTGAGAGGCTTATATCTCAGCAACCGCTTGACCGATTGGCCTGCGGTCTTTTTTGTTGGGTAGCCCCATCCCTTCTACCCCGTAATTGACTACTTTTGATACATCTCAGTGACGGTCGTGGCACGTGACACGTGAAAAGTCAAGGGTGTTCAAGCTGTTTTGCAAAAGTAGTGATTTTGAGAGGCTCATATCTCAGCAGCCGCTTGGGCGATTGACGTCAATTTTTGTAGGGTAGCAGCATCCCTTCTACCCAAAAAAGGATACTCTCGATGCATGTGGGTCACCCCCAGTGCACGTGCAAAATACAGCAATAAGAGGTGCCAAATTTGTTCCCATTTCAGTAACTCGGTAATTACTGGGGCGATTTCGCTGAAACTTGGCATGCAGGTAGGCACCCACCAGGCAATGCATTCCCATGTGTTGCGGTTAGGGTGCTACTGCACGTGCGCACGTGCAGGGGGCGTTTCCAGATCTCGAGAACGGCTGGGCCGATTGCGCTCAAATTTGGTACACGGTTGGGGACCAGTTAGTAGGGTGCCGTGCAAAAGTCATTTTGGACCCCGTTTGCACGTGCGCACGTGCAGAATGCCGCTTCCAGATCTCAGGAACGGCTGGGCCGATTGCGTTCAAATTTGGCACACCGCTATCGACCGGTTAGAAGGGTGCTTTGCGCAAGCCCGTTGGAAGCACCCTCTCGCCCTTCCGCACGTGCAGGGCTCACTATCTCGCTCGCTCGTTCTTCGCCCAAAAGGCGTTTTACTGGTTAATTAACCCTGGGGCCGATTTTTACGAGTATGCGAATCTGATATATGAGTGTGATTGGCAGGTACCTACAATCTATCGTGGAATGCTCCCGTCGTATGTTGTTTATCCGTGCAGCAGCGCAGTGCCCCGCCAAATTAAGCGCGAGCAGTGGAGTCTCGGGCTGTGATCCGTGTATCGAGGGTTCGCATCCCGGAAGCGCCCGGTAGTTTTTTACTAAATGTTATTGGGATGTAGATTAGCGTTTGTTTAATCATTAGGTACTTGATGGTAGTAATCCATTAGTTGGTGAAAATAGCTCTATTTCCATGTACTCAGAATTCCGTTGCACTGACGCGCCCGTTTTCAAAGAAATTTGCACCCCCCCCCCCCCCTTCGAGGGTTCAGATTGTGTATAGTGCCGTGGACAGTGGCGGGAAACAGAGTAATTACCAGTTGCCATGCAGGCATGGCAATGTATTGAGACCGTCGATTCGATCATGTTTGGTGAGTTTTGTGGCGCTCTCAGCGCACATGATGGTGCTGGTGACGGTGGCGATCTAACGTGGCAGTCTCATCGAGCTGTAACATACACGAACACGGCTAACTGGACGGACGGAGGTACAAAAACGCCACGGTGCAGATGATATCGCTGCATCATCTACCTACATCATTAAATGCATTCACGTAACATATACATATCAGACTTCGCAGCAAGCATTTGAATATAAACACGCCTATGTGTAGACTGTACTCACATGAAAACATGCAGACGCAAGACCCGCGTATGCACGTAAAGCAATCTGTGTAAGCATACTTACTGCACACATGTACAATTTCCTCTCCTGTCTGTGACTGGTATGCTATCCTAAGCATGTAACATGCGGATTATTTACGTTTATCATGCCCATTGCAATTTTGAACTAGCCCATTTGGCCTCCCATTGAGCCGCTGGGAACCTGAAAGCTCGCAAGGCTTGTCCAGCCGAGAAACGGTGCTCGGCAGACAGCTGGTGCGTATCGGAACGCTGGGCCAGGCATGGCACAGGTCAGAGGTCCGTTTCGGGCGGCACGTAGCGTCTGGGCGTGGCGCGCCCCTCCGTCTCGTAGCTCTCGAAGCTGCGGTCAGTGCCGGCCGAGGGCGTGTCGGGCAGGCTGCGCTCGGACACGGTCGGCGGGTAGCCCAGGGACGTGTTGGGCGTGTCGGTGGCGGCCGCGCGCCGCTGGTACGCCGGCGGCGGCGTGCCGGACGGCGCCGGCTGGCCCGCGCCGCCCTGCCAGCCGGGCGCCGCGCCCGTCCGCGCGGAAGTCTCCTGCGGCCGGGAGGCCAGCTGCACCACTATCTGCGCCTGGTGGTGCTTTGGCCGCGCGGGTGGCGCCGCCGCGGCCGGCGGGGCGGTGCGCGGCGCCGCGGTGGGCGGCACCGGCCGAGCCTCGGGCGGCACGTAGCCCGGCGGCTGCAGCTGCCAGTCGGCCGGCCTGCGCTCGGTGCGCGGCGTGCGCGGGCGCTCTCCGGCCGCCAGGTTCGGGTTCGAGTTGTACTGGTAGTCGTCTGGCAGCTGCACCACATCGTAGGGCTCGACGAAGTGGAACCGCGGCACCTTAGGCGTCCCGGGCCGCGACGTCTCAGAATCGACATCGCGGTCCAGCTGCTCCACCGACTTGGTGCGGATTCGGGACGGTGGTCTCTCTTCATACTCTGTCATGTTTGGGATGGATTTGGCATGCGGCACGAATGCGTCTTGTGGCTGTGGCTGGGACGACGGGTGCACGCGATCCGTTGGCCGCGCTGGCAGCACGGGCACTCTGCCGGCCTGCCGTGGGTCGGCCGTGTGTCCCGCCTGGTCTCCCGGAGTATCCCTCTGGTTGGGCGCCATCTGCGGGTGACGCGCCCCCGACTGGCCGCCAGGCGCGCCGTCCTTCAGCAGCTGCTGCTGGGCCGCGCTGGCCGCCAGCGCGCCCGTGTGCTCCAGCGTGGCGTACTGGACCGTGTCGCGGGACCGAGCCGAGCTGCGGCTGGGCTCGCGCGTGAACGGCTCGGCGGCGGCGGCGCCTCGCAGCGGCTCCAGCTCGGTGGCGCTCTGAGCCTGGCTGCTGGGCACGCGAGTGGGTGTCTCGCGCGCCTGAGCGGCGGCCTGCTGCCGGCCGGCGTCCGAGCGCCGCCGCCGGTCCTGCTGAATATCGCGCGCCAGTGACCGCGCGTCGTGCCGGGGCGCGTCCATAGCTCCGCCGCCGCTGCCGGACGCCGCCGCAGCGCCCGACAGCGTGGCGATAGACGGCGGCTTGCTCGATTTGGCAGCAAAGTGGCTGTTCTCTCGAACGTCGAAGGCGTCGTCCATAAACGACTCCTCGTACAAGTGGGTCGTTTTCCTGAAAAAAACAGCCACCGAAAAAGTTCAGTGCAATGAACAGACAAATGAGGAATGAAATCCATGTATGTACTTGTACATGGGGAGTATGGGAGCGAAACACAGCATGGCTCTGTCTCCCGTCACGCTCAAACATGTCTTCAAGTATCGCATTTGCAAAGTGGTAGCCGTAGGGTGCAGCTGCCACAGAACTTTATGAGCCCGATTGGGGTTTTGAAATCATGCCCGATTCGTAGGAAACTAAGACATGACATGTACTTCTTTATCGTTGTTATACATTTTTAAGTACGTTATCAAATGACAGATGTGATATGGGTATAAGTGAATGTAAGGCCTAAACTTTTGAATTCATTTCAAAATGGATAAAAGTGCAATAAATTACCCAATTTCTTAGGATTTCATCCCTTTTGAAATGAATTCAAAAGTTTAGGCCATACATGCACTATCACTTAATACATTTTTCAGTTCACGCACAGAGGAGTGCTAAATTCTTACTTTTTGGCACCTTGCCATAGACAACAGCATATGCCGACGATGACCAGCAAAAGAAATGCCAAGGCCGTCACCGACCAAAAGGCGATTTGCAACGGCTCCTGTGGTTCCCACCAGAACTGAAAAGAAGACAAAGCTTATGACATTGGAAGCATTGCATAAGTTTATAAGTCTTTTGACTTCGGCAACTTTTCGACAAACCAAATGATACTCAAGTTGACCTGAAAACCAATAACAAGGTTTGTCCGCAGTCAAGCCATAGCGAAATCAAAGGTCAGGGCAGATCAGAGCTTAACGTACACTGCGTGATTGTTCAAATGCAAATTAATTGAGTCATACCTACCAGTAAAACGCCTTTTGGGCGAAGAACGAGCGAGCGAGATAGTGAGCCCTGCACGTGCGGAAGGGCGAGAGGGTACTTCCAACGGGCTTGCGCAAAGCATCCTTCTAACCGGTCGCTAGCGGTGTACCAAATTTGAACGCAATCGGCCCAGCCGTTCCTGAGATCTGGAAGCGACAATCTGCACGTGCGCACGTGCAAACGGGGTCCAAACTGACTTTTGCACGGCACCCTACTAACTGGTCCCCAGCCGTGTACCAAATTTGAGCGCAATCGGCCCAGCCGTTCTCGAGATCTGGAAGCGCCCCCTGCACGTGCGCACGTGCAGTAGCACCCTAACCGCAACACATGGGAATGCATTGCCTGGTGGGTGCCTACCTGTATGCCAAGTTTCAGCGAAATCGCCCCGGTAATTACCGAGTTATTAAAATGGGAACAAATTTGACACCTCTTATTGTTGTATTTTGCACGTGCACTGGGGGTGACCCACATGCATCGAGAGTATCCTATTTTTGGTAGAAGGGATGCTGCTACCCTACAAAAATTACCGCAAGTCAATCGCCCAAGCGGCTGCTGAGATATGAGCCTCTCAAAATCACTACTTTTGCAAAACAGCTTGAACACCCTTGACTTTTCACGTGGCACGTGCCACGACGGTCACTGAGGTGTATCAAAAGTAGTCTATTACGGGGTAGAAGGGATGGGGCTACCCAACAAAAAAGACCGCAGGCCAATCGGTCCAGCGGTTGCTGAGATATACGAGTAAGCCTCTCAAAAGCGTTACAGGCCGGGCCGGGCCGGGCCGCTCATACTGAGATTTTTCCGTTATATTGAAAAGACTCGCTTCGCTCGCTGCGCTCGCTCGCTCGTAACTACATAAAAAATAATTACGGTTTTTTATCATTGGAACGGTAACTGGTCATGGAATTTTCTGCAGGGTTGGAGTAATCTTGAATTTTTAATTTTGATGATTGAACTAATCAATTTGCCGTGAACCGCAATAGTCTATGGTTCATTCCCTTCCACTCACCTCTGTGGAAGGCCGATAAGTAGGCACCAAATGTCCCACCACAGTCGGCAGATAACGACTCCAGAACGAGCACTCTGTCTGTCGGTAGTTGCTGAACATCGTGCTGTTGAACGTGTTGTTTATGCTGAGGAACCGCAGGTCGCCCTCCAGCACGGGCTGCCAGTTGATGAGGTTGAATATTTGTCTCGGAGTTGGTCGGCTGTGGGCCAGATAATTGTACGAGTACAGTTAGCAAAATATTTGTCATTTCTATGACGAAGGTGAAATAAAAGACACAATAGCCGCTTTCACGACGGGTTATCGAAGGCGAATGCACCAGAGTTTACCAGGTAACCGAATTTCTTTTACAGCAAATATCTTCACATCATAAATTTATTTCAACGTTTTAATCGAAAACAAAGTCTGATGATTTGATAAATAAGGTATATAACCAGCTATTGCAACCCAAACTGAAAACTACTCAGAATCAATTATGAATCTGATTCGATCAAATCGCACTAAATGGAACCAAATGTATAACAAATAACCGTGAAAACGGCGAACAAGACTTTAAAATAAGGAAGGGAACCTAATTGGGCACATACCATTAGCACGAGCCTTCAATACAAAAGAGGATCAGGCATCGGACCAAAAGCTCACCCGTATTTAGCAAAATTGGTGAATGTTTCGATGAATAGCTGACTCATATTGCGATCACCTTCCGTCCAGTTTCGTCTGTCAATCCGTATGTCCTCAGCAAAGAACTCTGAAATCACACCAAACAATGATACACTTCGGCAGGCTGAGCAAAGCAAATCAATCGGTACTGTTCATCGGCATCAGCAGTTTTCTGTTTTACTCTATAGAAGCAATGGCAGGATTCACCAGCATGGGCTTTCCGTTGGGTTTGGATGTGTGCTGTGCAATGTATATTATCGGGAGCGGGACACAATATAGACAAAGTAATGTCCATGTGCGTAGCTTCTCAGCTATATGGGACTGACCTGGATCCATGAAGGGTGCTCCGGTAAGAAAGTAGTACTCGAGGTCGTGCGGTACCTCCCGCCAGAGCGGAGCCTTCAGGGCCTCCACCGTGGTGTTCAGCACGTACTGGTAGGTGGTCACCTCGAGGTCCATCATCAGCTTGACCATGCTGTCCACAGGCGCTTTGTAGAGCGCGTCCGACAACATCTGTGGGAGACACGATGTGAAGCAAACATCCAGCCCAAGATTATCTATTGAGCGGCTCAACATCTGGCCATTTAAAATAATCGTAGATAGGGACTTCCCTTGCTTACATAGAAACACTGAAAGCAGAAAACAATGAAAATCTAATTAACTTGATGGAAGCCTGCACTTGCTGGTTGATTTCAAAATTTCAAAATTTCGTAGCATCGGTCGCATGCAGGATCTCAACAAGCCTGGCACATGATGGAGACAACAACAAAAATACCGTCTGGGAAATGAATGCCATCTTTTCCTCTCCCGTCCCTCCTCTGATTTAATCTTCCTTCATTTCGCTTCATCCCATTCCTTCATTTCTTTATTCTTAACCCGCAAAATGGACAGAATAGACGAGCTAAGAGGCGTTAAAATTACTCCGAAGCTAATAAAAGGGGTAGTTTCGCTGGTCAATTTTAAAAAGAATACTTACATCGATATACATTTCTCTGATCCAGGTAGTGTTGTGTCTGTCGGGCCAGTAGGTGTACATGTATCGGATGGCTTCATACACGCCCTCCGGGTTGAGCGTGTAGTTGTACTGTTTCACCCACTCCCAGATCTTCACGTCCACAAACTCCTGCGTCACCACAAAGTCCGGCGACAGGGAACGATTCTCGTCTGTGGGAGGGATGATGTCGACGTCAGACAGCAGCTCGATCGGGAGTCGGGACAGCAAGGCTGCACTCATCGGCAATAGAGAGGGGACCAGGATCTGATTCCCAGGATCCAATGACTTTTTGGGACGATAACATGAGGAGAGGATCGCAGTCACAAAAATAGTGATAATTGTACCAAATAATTATCCGCCGTATGTCCCTGTAAAAAAAAAAATAGGAACTGTAACCATGACATGAAGACTGAATAGTTAGTAAGAGCCTCTTGAAGTAAACAAGCGGATCTTCATTTTCTTACATGGTTCATGGTGAAATTAGAAAACCGTATGGCTGTGCTTCTGAAGACTGGTGTGATTGTTTGGAAGCTTACAGACAAAGAAGGCGGCCTCGTCGCGGTTGACGCCGGTGAGGAGGCGCAGTTTCTGGTTGAACTGCCGCCGGCGGAACAGCCTCTCCGGGAAGTCGGGGAGCACGCGCCAGTCGTCCTGCTGCCACTCCTCGTACCAGTCGTTGCCAGGAAACGTCGTGTTCGTCTCGATGTAAGGTGCCCATGGGAACGTTCCCACGTCCGGCTGAAACATGCGGATATTTACAGATTGAGAGCGGCGGGCGAGCGTCTTGTGTTACTCTCAATCATTGGGGTGACACTTCGCGGCATAACAAAATGCAGTGCCCCTTTCGACAGAGAAGCGAACGGAATCATGTCGTAGAAAATGGCGGATAATAAAATGGTGAGTTCGATAAAAAAGGACCAGATAGCGCTAACTGGAATGAATGTTAAATACCTTGAGCTCGACGTTCCCTATCTCGATAGCATTTCGTACCTTGAACTCGACGTTCCCGATCTCGATAGCATTTCGCGCCTTGTTGAGGCAGTTCATCAGTTTGTAGCTGGTGTCGATGTTGCAGCCGATTTTTTCACCGAAGATGCGCGATGTGTTCTGCACGCGCCATATGTCGTAGATGGCGGCCCAGTCCGCCAGCGGAGAGCCGCTCTGCGGAGATGGGGAGGGGTGGGGCAAACCGTTATCACTCGCCCAACGCCCAGCCGAGACACTTGTCCATCTTGGCCATGCGTTTACACCTGCATACGACAAGAAAGGATGCATAAATAAATAAATGCATTCCTTACATACATAGTACCTATGTATGTACATGCCTACATATTACACCACACATACATCATACATACATAGATACATACATACATACATACATACAAGCATACATACAGACATGCATATATACATGCATATACTCATGCACACATGCATTTTTATGTGCCTATATACCTACAAATAGCTTAATGTTACTCCTTTTGTTCCTTCATTTGTCCTAAAAATTTATTTTTGTGGGTAGGTAGCTGGGTGAGTAGCATACTACATAGGCATACCTTCGCTCAAGTCTCGCCCTAAATATACCGAGCGACGTAACAAACCGTCATTTTTAGACAATTTGGGAACGATTTTGACGATAAACTAGCCATGACAAATTTATGTGTTATGATGTATCTGAAGTCTCAAATGGATGTTGCGCATACATCTACATGCACAGTTGTTATAAGTCATCTCTACACCCATGGACAAGATGATTCCCTTACGAAAATAACAAAGTATTGACGATCATACCATCCCCTGGCTTCCTCGTCACCTCAATAGTTTCCAACACGTAAGCCTCTCAAATTGTTAACGCGTCGATTGTTTCTCCGCGCTGATTTGCATTCAAACGAAGCGGATTTGTCATCGTGGAAGTGCATATAAGGCGTAATTTAATCGTAATGGCATACTTCCTGTTTGGGCTTCACTGATCATCAAGACCAGGCAGCCGACACAATATTTTACGGTCCATGTGCGTAACGATTGGTGCGAAACCAAACGGCCGTATGAATTTGAGAAACTGGGCTTCAACATTATTAAGGCGGCTCAGCCCCAGCCACAGTACCGAGGCCCAGCCCCAGTACAATAAACGAGCCAGTGCCTGGGAACCGATGATTGATTTGATTTAGCGAAAGGGCGAGCAAGCGTTTTATCGATTGATCCATGGGCGTTAAATGTGTGGTTGACTTCGCCATCAAGAAATAAAATGAATGTCATAGGTATATGAGGTAAGTAGTAACAGGAACCAGGTATAGATATGTATGTCAATAGAATACTAAAATTTCATTTTACCGATACCGAACAAATTCCAATTATTGGGTATTTCAACGTGTTACGTATTCAACGCATTACATGCTCTAAATTTGGTAGAAAATTGGTATTCCTCTCGACTTGCCGCGTCGGCTCGATTTTTGTTATTTTTCCTGGTTTTGGCTGGTAGTATGGTTAGTATCGGATTCTCCATTATCCGTAACTGACCACTTGTGTCAAGGACATTGGGATCTGAATTCTGTGTGAATTCTGAAACGCACGTCGAGGACTCGGCGGTTTATTCGACCAGCACGTGACCCTTTAACCCGCGCCCGGCTGGGGGTCCTGGATTTCCACGCCCTGCTGGGGGGGTGTTTGAACACCCCCCCTTGTAACTCGGCTCCTGGGCCACGTAGCGATACGCGGAAGGCGGCGTTCGAAAGAGCGTCAAAAATAATGACGAAATCACTTCGGTCAATTTTTTGGTCAGGTCAAAGGTCAGGTCACCAGAGGTCACTGAAGGCAAAATTTCGCCGATTTCCAGGTCGAATGTCGAAAATTTCCAAGAAGCCAACGCATAACTCGAGAACCAATAGAGCTACAGCGCCGCGGAAAAGCGCATTCGATAGCCCTATTAAAGCCCTTTCTGAATAATTCTCTCAGATTTGACCTAACGTCAACGGTTTTGCCTGCAGGGGGCAAAAACTGCAAAAATAGCCGATTTTTTCGGAAACAGTTTTTCTGCAATAACTTTTGACTCAAGCCTTGTACGAGCTTACTTTTACCGGCATTGTGTTCCTCTCGTCAAGACGCATCGAATGAACTATAACTTGACCTTGAAAGGTCAACTTGAAAATTTGACCTCAGGTCAAGGTCATGACCTGACCGGAAAGAGTCATGTTGCATATCAGTCAATCCGTATCGTCGAGCTGAACACATCTAAAGCGTTTTCATCGCTCTAGCATGCCTCTATCAAAAGTTATTTGCGAAAAACTGTTAGATACCATTCGTGACCTAAGATGACCTCAGGGCATAAACAAGGGTTACGGACACCATTTTCATGTTCAGTGTGTCTAAACCACTTGTAATTCGGTGTTTGGGAGTGTTTATAATGTATTTTGTCCAAAAGAGGCGCATTTCAATTTTCTCCCATTGACTTATAATGGGGAGGTCGCAAAATTGACCTGACCTTAGGTCATCGATATCAAAATTCTGAGATATACATTTTGTACATGCTATTGCTCTTAGCAATCGCTGAAAGTTTCAAAGCGATCGGTCACTCGGTGTAGCTATGACAGACATTGAAACTTTTTATGAGGTGAGGTCACTTCAAGTGACCTGGTGACCTGACCTTGAATGACCTTGGTCTGAAATTTTCACAACATGTGTAGAATTGATGTACGATAAGGTGTACCAAAAACGGCGGCGCTCCGCGCCGCCGTTTTTGAGATATTCGCGAAAAACCACAAGGGGGGGGGGTGTTCAAACACCCCCCCCCCAGCAGGGCGCGGGTTAACCCTCGCATGTGTAGGGGGGGGGTCGGATGGACCCCCCCCCCATGGTTTTTCGCGAATAACTCGCGTAAAAAGCGGCCGATCGCGACGAAACTTTCAGTACCCTCGCATTGATCAATTTGACACCTACCCTGAAAATTTCATGACCCTGACCCAAATGACCTTTGACCTGTGACCTCTTTTCCGAGACCATGTTTGGCCGGAATCGCGATTTCGCGTATGTCGGCTCGCACTAGCCGCGTGTTTGCAAGCTTTTCGTGGTTTCAAACGTTCAAACATGTGATTTGATGTTACTCCCGTGTGTGTCAAGGTCACCTGAAGGTCAGGTCAGGTCATTGACCTTTGGTGACCTCGGGTGACCTCGGGTCACTTTTTCGAGTTTTACATGTTTCTAGGCTAGTTTTTGGAGCTGAATTCGAATTTAGCAACCATTTGAACATTTACGAAGTAGTTTTGGTGACTTCGTAACATGTTACGAAGCTGTCAGAGGCGGTTGACACGTACTACGAATACCCGTCACGACGCCTACTGGTTGACCTGACCTGACCTGACCCGACCTGGTCTAAATGCTTCAAGACATCATCTGTGATCAAAACTAACACGATATTCGTGATCAGCACCCCGAAAAACCCCTTAGCAGCCACACTTTACGACTTTCTAACAGGTCCCGATTTTCCCGACTTTGGGTCATTGACCTGACCTGGAAGGTCAACCAATGACCTAGGACCTTAAAATTGGGTATCATCGGCTTCCTCTCGTCACGGGCAACACGCTCGTTTTTTCCGCGAAGCTCTAGCTCGATCAGGGGCCAAACGGCAAGGGGGGGGTCCAACCGACCCCCCCCCTACACATTAGAAGCTGGCAAACGCCGCACACATGCGAGGGTTAATCTACCGTGCATTCGCCCGTCACCGAGTGATAACCGACAACGTCACAAGATTGGCTTATTTGAGCTGATTCATGCCTCAAGAATGTGCAAACAAAACAATCTTAGCAAGCACACGGCCGTCTTATCTGAGCTCGGATACATTACAAAGTACAAACATGAGCCATCTTGGCGCCTTTACTCAATTCGGCAGCGTGCAGACAGCGGGATTGATGCTTGTGGAGTGAAAATTGATCAGAATCAGATGCACAGGGCATCACATCGGTAGTTCAATTGGAGTGCTTATATGAATCAGTTGCTTTTAACGGTCCGAATCCACTCGGGTACCTCATTGCATGCACATGCGTAAGTGCATGGATTTAACTTCCAGAAAAAAAATATTCAGGTAGGTACATGTATTAGTATTTAGTGATTAGATCAGCCCCGAATCAGACTTGCACACGCGATTCGATAAACAAGACACCGTGTGCAGTATTGGAGTGTCTCACCTCTCCGATGACCTGGTGCACCATGTGGGCGCTACGCGGCGACACGGCCAGCAGGCCGGCGCTGGCAGCGCCCGCCCCCGGACCCATCACCGTGATCTTCTCTGGGTCACCGTTGAAGAAGATGATGTTTTCGTGCACCCACCGGAGTGCCATCACCTGGTCCAGCAGGCCGTAGTTGCCCGGTGAATACTCGTCTCCGGTGCTCAGAAAACCTGAAACACATCGTGCCTTCATAGGTAAATACATTCAGTTGAGCGACAAGACATGAGCGGGAGACATTGGGATTTAGTCGAACATGAGCACCACATAACTGAGCCGATCTTGATGGGACGGGAATGAAATTCCAAAGTGAAAGGTTATGGTAGCAACCTGGGATTGAATGGAATAATAAACGACCGTCACGTCATTCGAGGTCTTCATTACGTAAATACGAATAGATGATGCCTAAACAAGAGCACAAACGTATCTATTCTAAGCACTCACCGAGTGCGCCGAGTCGGTAGTTGAATGTGACGACGACCACCTCTCCCCAGGCGGAGAGCATGTGGGCCGGGAACAGGCTGGACGCGCCGTGTGTGAACTCCCCGCCGTGAATGTAGAACAGCACCGCGTACTTGTCACGCACGTTACTGGATATCTGCAACCGGCAAACAGTTCAGTTAGGAAACACACACGCATGCTTGTCTCAGAGCTATCTAATTGCTATGATTTGGGAAAGTTACAGACGCGTGGCGCATCAGAGACAGTGTCTATGTAGTGTCATAGGCGGCGGAACGATTTGAGACAAGGGGGGGCACCAGCTCAAGGAGCCAAACCTAGGGTACCCCCAAATCCTGTTTTCTCATCGGATTTAGGCCACTTATTTTTCGTCACAGCCCTGACACGATGATTTTTTATTTTTTCTATTTTTTTTTACTAAACGAAAATGGCAGAACACCCCCGTATGTGTGGTTAACTTTAACCCGCGCCCTGCTGGGGGGGTGTTTGAACACCCCCCCTTGTGGTTTTTCGCGAATATCTCAAAAACGGCGGCGCGGAGCGCCGCCGTTTTTGGTACACCTTATCATACATCAATTCTACACATGTTATGAAAATTTCAGACCAAGGTCATTCAAGGTCAGGTCACCAGGTCACTTGAAGTGACCTCACCTCATAAAAACTTTCAATGTCTGTCATAGCTACACCGAGTGACCGATCGCTTTGAAACTTTCAGCGATTGCTAAGAGCAATAGCATGTACAAAATGTATATCTCAGAATTTTGATATCGATGACCTAAGGTCAGGTCAATTTTGCGACCTCCCCATTATAAGTCAATGGGAGAAAATTGAAATGCGTCTCTTTTGGATGAAAGACATTATAAACACTTCCAAACACCGAATTACAAGTGGTTTAGACACACTGAACTTGAAAATGGTGTCCGTGACCCTTGTTTATGCCCTGAGGTCATCTTAGGTCACGAATGGTATCTAACAGTTTTTCGCAAATAACTTTTGATAGAGGCATGCTAGAGCGATGAAAACGCCTTAGATGTGTTCAGCTCGACGATACGGATCGACTGATATGCAACATGACCCTTTCCGGTCAGGTCATGACCTTGACCTGAGGTCAAATTTTCAAGTTGACCTTTCAAGGTCAAGTCATAGTTCATTCGATGCGTCTTGACGAGAGGAACACGATGCCGGTAAAAGTAAGCTCGTACAAGGCTTGGGTCAAAAGTTATTGCAGAAAAACTGTTTTCGAAAAAATCGGCTATTTTTGCAGTTTTTGCCCCCTGCAGGCAAAACCGTTGACGTTAGGTCAAATCTGAGAGAATTGCTCAGAAAGGGCGTTAATAGGGCTATCGAATGCGCTTTTCCGCAGCGCTGTAGCTCTATTGGTTCCCGAGTTATGCGTTGGCTTCTTGGAAAATTTCGACATTCGACCTGGAAATCGGCGAAATTTTGCCTTCAATGACCTCTGGTGACCTGACCTTTGACCTGACCAAAAAATTGACCGAAGTGATTTCGTCATTATTTTTTACGCTCTTTCGAACGCCGCCTTCCGCGTATCGCTACGTGGCCCAGGAGCCGAGTTACAAGGGGGGGTGTTCAAACACCCCCCCCCCCCCCAGCAGGGCGTGGAAATCCAGGACCCCCAGCAGGGCGCGGGTTAAGCTGATCCTCAAGTACCTATGTGTTTGTCTCTTCCTTATTCTCCTTTGATAAATTCCATTAACCGTTGATGCAACCCCCCTAAAGTTTTTCGCAAATAACGTAAAAACGGAGGAACATTTTCGCACCTTTCCTGAAAATTTAAAGTCCCAGTCTTTTCAGGTCAGGTCACCAGGTCACAAAAACCGGTACAAGGTCAGGGGAAAATTGGACTAGCTTAGCGGCAACTGAATTCCAAAAATCACTAAAATTGGTAACAAAGTATACCATTCGATGCGCTCTGACGTCCTGAGTTCACTGGTGCTTTTATTTTTGCTCTATCTTTGCTAGGTAAAAAGTTATAAGCGAAAAACTTTTAACATGTTTAAGCAAAATTTTTGCATTCATACCCACAAAACCCCCTAAATATTGACTTAGAGTCACCAAACTTTCCCAGGGGGCGAGATCTCCCATGGACCCACCTACCCTGTAAATTTGTCGTTTCTAAGTGCCATAAGAGCCAATCGCGAGGGGGGTCGTACCAACCCTCCCCCCTCGCCGTCCGTGTTATGGAAAAGGCCCTCGCCTGGCGAGGGTTAATCCTACATGTATCAAATTACCAAGAAGCCATTGCAGTACTAATCAGTGGCGAATCCCAGGGGGGAGGTCACATGGGTCATGACTTTGGGCCTGGGGTCACCACATGCCTGCCAGGAGCACCACAGGCCTGACAGCCGACAGGGGCACCACAGGACCGCCAGGGGTACCACAGGCCTAGCAGGGGCACCACGGGCCTGTCAGTGGCACCACAGGCCTGTCAGGAGCACCATCGGCCTAGCAAAAGCACTACAGGTCTTCCAGGGGCACCACAGACCTGCCAGGGGCACCAGAGGCCTGCCAGGGGTACTATCGGCTTCGCAGGGGAACCACCAGCCTCGCAAGGGCACCATGAGCCTGTCAAGGGCACCACAAGCCTGTCGTTGGCACTTCAGGATTGTCAGGGGCACCACAAACCTGTCAAGGGCACCTGCGTTCTAACAGGGGCATCACAGGCTCGCCAGGGGCACCACAGACCTGCCAAGGCCCAGGGACACCACAGGCCTAGCAAGGACACCACAGGCCTGTCAGGGGCACCACGGGCCTGTCAGGGCCCATGGGCACCTAAGTCATGTGCAGGGCCCACCGTGGGCTTGTCAGGGGGCAGGGTAGGTAGGTACCACAATCTTTCCAGGGGCACCAGCGGCCTAGCAGGGGCACCAGTCATCACACGACTAACCAAAAATAAAGAAAATAGAAAACTGAAAATAGGGCACCACCAAAATTAAGTGGCCGAAATCCGTTGAGGTTTTCATTTTGGGTATAGGTAGGGGCACCACTTCGATTCATGACCCTTCCCTTGGAGTTTTCCCGAATCCGCTCCTGGTACTAATACATCAAATTTAAGGGGGGCACCTTGCTATTGGTGCCCCCCTTGCAGAATTCAAGGGGGGGCACGGTGCCCCGGTGCCCCCCCCCCCGTTCCGCCGCCTATGTGTAGTGTCCTTAAAAGAGGAGTACTAATGACTGAAATCATACGAGTGTGACATGAAATGAGCACGGATGAAATGCCTCATACCTAACTTCTGCTGGTTTACTCTCACTCTCCAAATTAAGACTTTGGGTGATTCCTGTTTAGTGTTCAATGCCATAACCCATAACTGTCAACAAAAATCAAACAACTTTATCAGAAACGACATATTCCCGACTCATGAAGACTACCGATGTTGGGTATATTTAGTTGGGTATATTTAGTTGGCTTTTTAGCTTGAAAAACGATCGAGATCAACGTCGCAACGATGTAACTAGCACTCTTTGCGAAACATATGTATACGAACTAAGCGATAGGGCAATTGCCACTTCTGATAGGCGCCAGTTATCGTTACTGTTAAGCAGCCCAGTCAAACCAGACTTGCCACAAATCGATGTGCATGATACGCTTCAACGTCGCGTTCAAGGTGCTTCAAGCCCTTTCTGTCAAGTGCGGTCTAAATGTCTCTGATGTTAATATTAACAGCATCACCGCCCCCAACAAGCTAGATGAATTGGAACAATTTGTAAACATCAATTATATTCACGTCTTATGTGCAAACGAAACAAAGTTAGACTCAACGGTAAGCTCGTCATTATATACCATGAAAGCATTTAGTCCACCATTTACCAGGCACAGGACTCGCTGAGGAGGAGGCGTGGCGATTTTTGCTAGAACTAACATATCGTGCACTAGGCTACCGGAACTAGAGTGGGATGATCTTGAGAGCGTGTGGGTGAAAATTAGAACTAAAAAAGAACAGTGATTATATGCTGTGTATATTTTCCCCCAAATCAAGCAAGCACTGATTTCAGATTATTTCTAGATAAACTTTCAGATAGTGCCCTCGAAGCTCAAAAACACCATCCTTCGATTATTTTGATCATGGGAGATTTCAATTTGGGAAATATATATCTAAGGCCAGAGTATAAAAACCACAGCGGCGGCGTAACACATTTTGACTTGACTTGGTCGAGACGAGTGCGACTAAACTACTATGGACGTCAAACCCCTTGAGACCCCACTTTTTTGCGATAATTTTTAAATGCGTCAACTCTCGTTGACAATATTCTGGCAATGTTTGTTTCAGAACCTGCCGAAACTTTTATTACTAAGGTATTTTGACGCCAAACGATTATGAAAGGTACTTCTCATTCACTCGTAATGTTAAATTTCACGGAACGAATCTGCTGTTTGGGTAGAGGCTACGCGCTCACGGGGCGGAGCCACGTAATGACGTCAGCGCTAAGCTCCGCCCTACCCCTCCGGCGCTCCTCGCCCGGCGACCGGTCACTCGCGTCTCTCGCTCCATTCAGGCTTGATGGTGGGCGGTAGCTGGTAGCGGTAGCGGGCGCTGGTAGATGGCATTTAGAGCAGATGGCGCTTGTGGCGGTGCTCGAGTGTGGCCGAGCGCACGCCTCTGCCCGGGCCTGAATTGACCTTAGCATTACGAGTGAATGAGAAGTACCTTCCATAATCGTTTGGCGTCAAAACACCTTAGTAATAAAAGTTTCGGCAGGTTCTGAAACATACATTGCCAGAATATTGTCAACGAAAGTTGACGCATTTAAAAATTATCGCAAAAAAGTGGGGCCTCAAGGGGTTTGACGTTCATAGTAGACGACCGCCCCTAGGCTGCTGATATACAAGGACAGAAACGAAATAATAAAATATAATTATTATGTTGACTATTTATGCTTTAAAGGTAGTGTGCCACCTTTGAAAGATTTCCCATTTTATTTTTCCTAGGATAAGAAGCTTCTGTTTTTACCTAATATCGCAAAAAAAGTCAAAAATGGGCCTGGAATAGTGCCTTTTTCGCCTAAAAGTTTATCGGTTTTTCGATATGCATAACAACTGTAGTGGGCTGACCTGCAAACAGGCGTCGGCTTGGCGTCGGCAACAATCGCGAATGCGGCGCACATGTGACAATAAGCAAAAGTCATTATAGAGTTACGACGTACGGGAATGAGTTATCAGCTGTCTAATCGTAGACAACACAATGTCGAGCCTTAAACTATAAGCCTGTATTGGTATTGTTTCTTTTATTTGGCAGTCGAACATTATTTATGGTTTGAAATATGATTTTATGTAAAATAATTGATATGAAAAAGCCGTCTCTTAAGTTATGACCCCATTTCACCACACGCAAGTGGCAGAAATGACAATGATCAGCTGACGCATTTTTCTTGGCCGAAGTCAGAGCGCGCGGCCCGACGCACCACCACCGCACCACAAAGTATGAGCAGAAGCCGTGCCCAAAGCCAGGGCCCCGGTAACGTGAGGTAGCCCGGAGTCGGGGCAGCGTGCGCTGACCCAAGCCGGGGCCGCAGCTTTGGGCGCGGTCTACCGCATCCCCGCGGGCAGCCCCGGGCTATCACATGACACCGGGAGGACGCGCGGCCCCGGCTTGGGTCAGCGCACGCTGCCCCGACTCCGCTACCTCACGTTACCGGGGCCCTGGCTTTGGGCGCGGTCTACCGCACCACCTAACAGGCGTGTTCGAAACCGCAGGAGATGATGATGAACGGGTTTATCGAAACTTGATTGGATGAGCATATCGGTAATAGCGATTTCAGTGTGTGCATTTATTGTTCATAGTGGTGTGAAATGTGGTTGGGGTACGACCGACAACCCGTCGGGGCGAATTTCGTACTGGGGTACTCAAAATTTGAAGAATTTAAGACGTTTCCATGAGTTTTGAAGGTATGGATACCTAAGTTCTAAAAATCCGGTTCTCCTTATCTGGGCCATTAACTCCATACGGTCCAGGAAAGCTGGCACACTACCTTTAACCAGTACCTACTGATTACAATGTGTTGTTTTCTGTGGGAACAGGCAACGGACCCTTTAAAGAGCTAGTTGGCAACATCCCTTGCATTGGCCCTCAGCTAAGAGCCGAGTGTCTAATTAATAGGTATCTCTAACACAGATAACAGTAGTACTACTGTTACCTGTACTACTGTTATCTGTGTCTCTAAGTAACGGGTATGCGTTTACGGCGGCCGGCCGGCGACGTTCGCTGCACTCACACTCGGCGTGTAGACGTTCAGGTACAGGCAGTCCTCGGCCACCTGGCGAATGCCGTGCTGCACGCCCACGTAGCGGGCCGGCTGGGGGCACGCCGGTCCGAAGTCGAGCGCCGGCAGCGTCTGCCAGCCGGGGTGGGCGCGCGGCGGCTGGCGGAGACCGAGAGGGGCGGACGGTCAGCGGGCGCCGCACGGCACGGCACGCGCAGCCGCAGCGGCACGGGAGCGGGAGTCGGAGTCAAAGCGGAAGTGAGTCAGAGTCCAGACAAAACAGTCAACATGGGGACACGACGCGCGTGAGCCTGAAAGTAGGTGCCCAGTGCGGGGTGGTCCGCCCTGCACTGCGAGCGTTTTCACTCAGTGTACGTAAAAGTAAACATTGAAAATCAAAATTATCTGCGGGTCACAGGCATCAACTGCTCACTGATCCAGTCTACAGACTACAGAGACAACATAAAGTAGACATAATGTAGACACAGCCATCCAGCAGCCTAATATTCGACCTCCCCTCCCCCTCTGCCGGCAGATGACAGTGGCCGCGCCTCAGTTTCTGGTTTCCCGAGGCCAGTTGGACGTGAACAAATCATGTAAGTAGGGGAGAGCGGGGCTAGCCGAGCCGCTTTTTGCTTCAAACTTCATAACTTGGAAATGATAATGCCTTTCATTTCTTGCTAAAAATCACCGGAGAGCTCCGCCTTCTTTGGTCGTTCAAGGGAACTTACGTTGAATTAGGTAATTGACAGTCCCTCCACACAGTTTTGGATTAGTTCAGCCAGCTTCTTGATGTCCTAACTTGCCACGAGGCGAGGAATATCTCCCATTCCAACTTACCATAAGTGACATAAAGTAAAGCCCCGCTATCCCTTCAAAGCCACGGTCATAGGTCATAGGTCAAAGGCACGGTCATAGATGCATAACAGTGCACTATATGTGCTGTTATGCATTACACAGTCGTGGGTATCCTACATATGGATTCTTTGATATGCTGGCTCACTCAGCGGTCTTACCTATTGGATTCCCGTCCATTTGGTATATTGGTCATAATGAACGTAAAAAAGTCAGAAATTCGTTCTGAGATATTCGCCGACTAAAAAAAACACAGATATTTACTTGCCTAAGTATCTCAGCTGGGATATCCCTTAGCCATTGAGCCGATCAGCGGTAAAAGCCTGGTTCTACTACGCTCTACACCTACGAGTAGGCCTTATCTTCCTTAAAGGTCAGCCCGAAGCGGGGCGATAGCGCGGCCGTTACGATATCGGTCACCAGTGCGAGGATCCTACAACGGCTCACCAGCGCGCGGCGGTATCCACTTTTCTGCCTAACACGACCCGATCATATTTAGAGCAAGAAATGCGGTGCTGTCGTAGCGTCTGCCGTCTTTCAACATGCCGTAGTGCCAATCTGCAGCATGATCACTGATCAGGTTGGGCTGTTCAGATAAAGGAGTCGTATGAAAAGTATAAACATTAAACAGTACCTAAACAGTTTTACGCACTGACACTGAAACTGGAGGGGATAGAAAGAGGGAGGGAGGGAGGACATGGCAGGTGTCCGACCGACCCCTATCAATATCGGCTGCGCACTATCGTCCGTGCAGGGCAGATATACGGCCTTGGGGCAGATAGCCGGGACTGCGATAACGATAAACCGCGAGTGTATATGCATAGTTACATGTATGTGGGACATCTGTAGGTAGCATTAGACAGACAACACACTTGATTAAACTGCCAAAGTGAAAACGCATTTTCAAGGAAAGGTTAAACAGCAGAACTAAAAAACAACAAAGCCCCCGAAAATCATCCACGCATGCCTAAAAATGAATTGATCGTGCGTTCACCCCGGTTGAAGGGAGAGCCATAATACCGAAGCCTTTTCACCATAAATGGATGCATGCCGAACACTCATCAAACCGTTTCAAAACGGGTAGGGAAAAGAACAAGACGGCATTATTCAAATAAAATATGCGTAGCATGCCTCTGGTCCGATGCGGTTCATATTAAAATGATTGGTCTGGGGAAACAAAGGGACGCTTACGGCTCGCCATGAGACAGCGTGAGGCCGACATCACATACAGGGGGCCATGGAGAAGTCCGCGACGTGCAGACACTTCAGTGCAAGCGGGTTAACATGGACCACCTGAGGCGCCGCAGCAACGGCCACAGGGTGCCGGGGCTCACTGGAAGCCGGAAGGTCAGAGTCAGGGACCCTCCAGAGATCACCAGTTAAAGGGACCCTCCCACCTTAACATTAGATTTGAGTTGAGATAGCCAAAATGGGGTCCCTGGCTCACAATTACCGGTTTCGGCACTCACAACATCGAGAAATGCCTTAAATCAGAAATATTGAATTTCAAAATTGCAGCATTTTGATTCAGAGGGGCTAATGCTTAGGAATACCCCTCTGAATGTGTGACGTCAGCGCAGATATCTAACGATTTTTAAATGTTTGACTAAAACGTTTTGTAGCACGCGGTGGTATATGCTATTTGCGCGCAACATCTGCCGCAAACGCCGCACTTCTAAAATAAAGTCGCTAGAAACAGCGGAGATCCCAAAAAAGTAAACAAAAGTAAAAGTCTAATATCTTGAAAACCGGTGAATATTTTTCAGTGAAATTTGGTAGATATTCGTTTTCGCTCTTTCTGAACCGAGCGACATCACTTTCATGCCAATTCATAAACTTTTTTGAAGGTGGGAGGGTCCCTTTAATGACCTAATATTACATAATAGTAATACCGATGACTGAATGCCGGCGCATGGTTGCAGGCGAGATGAATACGAGGCAGCCGACCTCTGAGACACGCGTGGGTCGCAAGGTTAGGTTAAGCGGCTGATGGATCGCGAGTCATGTTTATGCAAATTAACGTTTTCATTAAGCATAAAAATAATATATCATTCAACAAAAGCCCTTTGGGTCAAAAGGGTTGGCCGTTAACGTTTTGTGACCAACCCGCTCACTATCAGATAGATACCTATCAGTCTTCTCTCCCAACGCCCAGTCATATTGCGCTCATGATTCACGGGTGACGTCACCTCTGACAAAGAACGTTCTATGCTATTCAGATAGGTGCGCTGATGACGTCACCCATGACAACGGCATGCCGGATGCCCTTGTTCGACGCCGTTTTATTCGAAACAAAGCGATATTTCATGATTAAAATACTAGCTGAATCGGTGCATCCAGTCGACCCCATGGCCGTCCTCGGCCTCGCCATCTCATTTGAATGTCAATTCAGGGTTCCCCGCTTCTGCGCACGGTCACGGGGTTTGACACACGGTAAATACTAGCGCTCAACAGCACACTACAGCGGCCAGCCGGTCGGTCTTCTCACCTTGAATCGGCCCTCGTCCACGGGCGGCTGGGCGTACGGGATGCCGAGGAAGGTGGTCACGTTCATCTTGTACTTTTGCAGCTCCAGCTGCAGGTTGGCCGGCCACAGCTCCTCGGGCAGCCGCGGCTTGTCGTACAGCTGCACCACGAACCCGGTCACGGGACCCAGCAGCGTGCGCACCTCCTTGTACGGGTTCAGGAAGGCGGCCTCGGGCCGGCGCTGGCCCTGCAGGTCGTCCCGCCACCCGCCCAGGATGCCCACGCCCTCCACTTCACGGTCGACGCCGTCGTACCCCACCACACCGCCGCTGAAGCGGTTGCGGTAGGTGCTGCCGCCGCGGTACGGGTTGCGGTCAGAGCCGCCGAACCGCTTGTGCTCGGGGTCATACTGGGGTCCCACCTGGCCGTCTGTGTTGGCGCCGTCGCGCGCCTCGCCGAAGCGATTCGTCGACTGTTGTAATCGATTTTGCGTGGCCGACTGTCCCGTATCCCAGGGAGTGTCGACCCCGGGCGGGTCTGGCCGCGGTGCCGTCTCGTACCGTTGCTGGCCAGCCGCACAGCCCGCGCACACGCACAACACCAGCACAACACCGTGTAGGCACGCGGCCCCCCAGCGACGCGACGCCATCTTGGCGCCGGATCGGCGCAGCCCCGCCCGGTCAGCACGCGACGTCTGTCTGACGCAGCACTGTGCACCGCGCGGCGCCCGCTTCCGCAGCTAGTTTGCTACCTGTCCGCGGGGCGGCGCCAGCAGCGCGGGAACTGCCCACCTGCAGCGACCTTCGGTCGGACGCCGCGACCGTTGGCCCCGCCGGCCCCGCGCTCCTGATGGAGGACTGAGCGCCGGCTGGGAACGGTAGACATATAGACCGCCGTCTGGTTGATACAGCCCTGCCCTGTATGTATACAGCCCTCATTGCTCCCCCCTGGGGGAGCAATGAGTACCTATTTTGGGCAAATGCCACTTCGCATCGCCCGAAATCGATGAGAATCTGTCGTTTTTTTAAAGCAAAAACACAACTCAGCGACTTTTATTGAAAAGAGTTTGCTTTAATCCGCGCCCCGTTGGGGTCTGCCGAGCAGTTGGGGATGGGGGCAATTTGCCCCCACCCCTAAGATCTCGAGAACCAGAACCACGCAAGATAGCGACAAGTAGCAAACAATGTTGGATAGCCCCAACAGGGAACTACCTAGTACCTTGTGACCCAACTTCATTGACTTAGGTCAAACCGATGACGTCACAGGTCAGGTCAAATGTCGAATTTTCACCATTTACAGACATTTCAAGAAATGCATTGTAAAATCGAGTAAAATGCATTTCATTGAAAATCATCGATGGGGTATTGTTCGTCAAACACATATTTTGCTATTTGAGGTCACTGATAGGTACCAGATCAGGTCACAGAGATCAGGTCACTGACTCCTGAGTTATCCTTCGACCTCAGGGGCCCCCGTGGCCCCCCTTGGGTACGTCACTGCACTCAAGTGACCCAAAGGGCCAACTTGCATGTCTGATCCCAAAGGGGGAGGCCATGGCCTCTTGGCCTCCCCCTGGATACGCCACTGTCACTGAGGGTCACAATAATATGAAAATATCGTGTGATGCATGTTTTATGGTTCATTTTATATGCCAACTGCGACTATGTGGGTCAGGCAGCCTTTAGGACCAGTTTAGATTCTGTTCTGGTGAAGGTCAGATCAAGGTCAGGTCAAAGTTAGGTCAAATTTCAAAATTGATATTTGAACAGTTTTTGAACAGTTTTTTCGCTATAAATTGGCCAAAAAGAGGTACCGATCTAAATATCCCGCGCCCCGTTGGGCTCTGCCGAGCAACGCGCCCTGTTGGGGGGGGGGCATTTTGCCCCCCCCCCTAAGATCTCGAGAACCACGCAACCTAGCGACAAGCGGCAAACGGTGTTGGATAGCCCTATCAGAGAACTGCCTTGTGACCCAATTTTATTGACCTAGGTCAAACCGATGACGTCACAGGTCAGGTCAAAGGTCCAATTTTCACCGTTTACAGGCATTTCAAGAAATGCGTTGTAAAATCGAGGAAAATGCATTTCATTGAAAATCATCGATGGAGAAATGTTCTTCAAACACATATTTTGCTATTTGAGGTCACTGATACCAGGTCAGGTCACAGAGGTCAGGTCACTGGGGGGTCACAATATGAAAGTGTCGTGTGATACATGTTGTATGGTCCATTTTACATGACAAATGCGATTATGTGGGTCAGGCAGCCTTTGGGGCCAGCTTAGGTCACGTTTTGGTCAGGGTCAGGTCAAGGTCAGGTCAAATTAGGTCAAATTTCAAAGTTGATATTTTTGCATAAAATGGGTATCGAATCGATGCAGCTCGTCACGGGGAGTTCAATGGTGGTCTTTGTTTTGCCGTACCAGGTCTAGAATCGCTAAAGATTGAGTTCAAAAATTTGACGTCATCATTTTTGAACAGTTTTTTTCGCTATAACTTGGCCAAAAAACGAGATATCGATCTGAAATTTGGTATGTATATAGAAGAGCGCAGGGACTATCACATTTATTCCGTTTTTTTTCGAAATTCGGAAAAATTTTGATTTTTTTTAGTTTTTCTAAAAAAATCAATTTTTTGATTTTTTGGGTCAAAAACCCAAAATTTTGAACATCCGAGATAGCAGTTTTGTAGCGCCGCTTTTTGTCTACTAGACTATATAAAGAACTTTAAAATTGCTTGTAGATTTGGTGAGCGTTTCAAGATTGCATGTTTTTTGCTCATTTTTGCTCGAACATGACCTCAGTTTGACCTCAATAACTCCTGACCTAAGTTGACCTAAGACTTGACATTTAGTGTGAAGGTGTCAAATTGATTCCCGGGAAGGTACGGAAAATTACCACAGCGGGGCCAAAATGCCCCCCCCCCCCCAACGGGGCGAGGGATAGGGTAGAGTGGGGCAAAGGGCCCAGGGCGGGTCAAACGCCCACCCCTCTTTTTTATGAAGTGCTCGACTTTTCGAAGAATTCTCGATAGCCATTTTCAAGAACGAGCAGGAATCTACTTTTGCCCCCTTTTTCGGATCTACAAGTGGGTTGTTCTGGACGTAAGATAAAGATTAGTTTATTTCAGACAATTTTTAGATATTTACATGTTTTCATACTACTAAAACTTTGTCTGACAGAGATTAAAGTAGGCAATGAAATTTAGCTACGCAGAACCTGCGGATTTAAGCTACGTTTTGAGCATTTACTGGTTTGCAACAAAATCGTCACACGCTTAATTTTGGTGGACTTCGTTTTGAATGTGCTGTTGGGGTAATACGCCCACTTTGGTGTGGGGCAAAACGCCCATCATGGGCGTTTTACCCCTAATGGAAGTTATACAGTACGGGTATTTGCGAACATTTTTGGCTGAAAGTGAGTGTCGGGATACGTTTCTACTGCTCAGGATTCTTATGAAATATGCAATATACTGGTTAGTATCGCCTGGAACAAATTTATTCGCACGAACTAATCTCCGCTCTTTAAGGCGGTAACAGCCCGTTGACTGAATGAGGAGTGGGGTGGTAACAACAGTGTTCAAGATGTGTTTGGTGGTGTAATCTATTGATTTAAAGTCAAACGAAATGAGAATGGATAAATACTGCATTCTTTTGTCAGAGTACCGAGCGTGTAATGAAACGTTCAGGACTGGGCGTTATGCCCCACTCATATGGGCGTTATGCCCCATGGGTGGGGCAAAACGCCCGATTTGTAGTCCTCTCAATTCGGATGGCATATCTAAAAAACCATGCATGCCACTTGTTTCTGATGTGTTATTCGAAGAAAGCCAAGGTAATGAGCTACCAGATCAGCTAACTAGTTGTCTTTCAAATTTGTAAGATAAAGAGATAGGTACTGGGGCTGGAAAGTTAGGGTGGGCGCTTTGCCCCACTCTACCCTATTGGTATGTAAATAGAAGAGCGCAGGGACAATCACATATATTCCGTTTTTTTCGAAATGCGAAAAACTTTTGGGATTTTTTGCGTTCTTTTCTTTAAACAAATCAACTACTTAATTTTTGGGGGTCAAAATCCAAAATTTGAAAATTCGAGATAGCAGTTTTGTAGCGCCGTTTTTTTTACATGACCGTATAAAGAACCTTGAAATTGCTTAGTAACTGTAGCTATTGTGAGCGCTTAAATATTTCATGCTTTTTGCTCATTTTTGCTCGAACATGACCTCAGTTTGACCTCAATAACTCCTGACCTAAAGTGACTTAAGACTTGAAATATTGTGTGAGGGTGTCAAATTGATGCCCGGTAAGGTACTGAAAATTTGGCGGCGCGCAGTGCCGCCGTTTTCTTTCCATTTAGGAAAAACCACAAGGGGGGCAAATTGCCTCCCGCCGGCGGGGCGAGGCGCGCCGGGCCGGTGCTCTTAGATTCCGCGCCGGGCCGGGGGGTTTGAACACCCCCCCCCCCTCTAACTCGGCTCCTGGGCCACGTAGCGACACGCGGTAAGCGGCAATCGAAAGAACGTCCAAAATAAGGACGAAAACACTTTAGTCATTTTTTGGATCAGGTCAAAGGTCAGGTCACCAGAGGTCACCAAAGGTAAAATGCTGACTATTTCAACATTTTGGAAACTGCCAACGACTATCTCGGGAACCGATAGAGCTACAGCGCCGCGGAAAAGCGCATTCGATTGCCCTTTTACAGACCTTTCTGAGTAATGTTCTCAGATTTGACCTCAGGTCAATGGTTTAGCCTCCAGAGGGCAAAAACTCCAAAAATAGCCGTTTTTACTAAAAGCGTTTTTTTCGGCAATAACTTTTGACTCAAAAGAGCCATGACATTACTTTTGCCACCATCGTGTTCCTCTCGTAGAGACGCGTCGAACGAACTATAATCTGACCTTGAAAGGTCAACTTGAAAATTTGACCTCAGGTCAAGGTCATGACCTGACCGGAAAAGGTCATGTTGCATATCAGTTGATCCGCAACGTCGAGCCGAACACATCTAAGGCGTTTTCAGTGGCAATTTATCAACTTTTTTGAAGGTGGGAGGGTCCCTTTAAAGGGACCCTTCCACCTTAAAAAAGTCAATGAATTGGCATGAAAGCGATGTCGCTCGGTTCCTCGCTCGGTTCACTTTAAAGGGAACCGAGCGACATCGCTTTCATTCCCTTTAAAGGGAACCAGAGGGTCCCTTTAAAGGGACCCTCCCACCTTCAAAAAGTCAATGAATTGGCATGAAAGCGATGTCGCTCGCCGCTCGGTGCAGAAAGAGCGAAAACGAATATCTACCAAATTTCATCGAAAAATATTCACCGGTTTTCAAGATATTAGGCTTCAACTTCTGTTTACTTTTTGGGATCTCCGCCGTTCCTAGCGACTTTATTTGAAATTGTGGCATTTGTTGCGCGCAAAGCAGCATATAGTGGAGAGCGGGGCAATGGCGGACGGTGGGTAATGCCGGCCACCCATCTCTAGTGAGTACTTTGTCCATCACTAATCAGCTGGTGTTGTCTACCTTTCCGTTGAGCGCCATTCTAGCACGTGGTGCAAGTTTGTCACGGTAGCTCCATTATTTTCATTTTTATAGTTAAATGTGTTTTTCGTATCTGATTTTTAATTTTGTTGCATCTATTTGCTGACTTTGAAATGTGTAAACGCATTTTCAGAAGTGCTGCTTTGCAATGACCTTCAATTAAGCCTTTCTTAGGCGACTGCTGGATGTGAGGTGTTTGCGGCGCAAT